CATCTGGAAAGAAGTGTCCAGTAGAATTTTAAGTTTTATTTTGATGCTTTCTGATAGGTATGTGGTTGACTTCTCCTAATATGCCAACTCAGGAACTCACTCCATCATCAGGAACAGACACAAACCCCAGGTATTAACTTCTCCATTAGCAGAAAACAGTAGGGATATGTAGAGATACAAAATGCTTGGGGAAAAAACACACAAAAAAATAACCCTTTGGGGTCTATTTAAGGAGTAAGAGTGGAAAGAGCCCAGCCCTGGTTCTCTGCAGGGAGATCTCATGAGGAGTGTCTGCCCAGTGCCATTCCTGGACAGTCCATCCAGGTGCAGGATGTGAGAACCATCAGCCAGTCAAAGCTGTGTCAAGGCTACAGCTGCTCTGCCAACAGCTCGGTGGGGTTCACCTTTTTGGGGTGGTATTTGACCCATCACACTCCTTGTCACTCCTCGTGTCTGTGCTGGAGAGAGGTGTCACAGCCCAGCCCTGCTGGTTCCATCCCTGCAGCACAGGGCACTGCCTTCCCCTAAGCATGGGAAACTGAGGCACACCACCACATCTCCCCAGCAGTCAGCACCAACTCCCAAACTGTTTCACATCTCTACTGAAAATCCTTGGAGTATCCAAGTCCAGGCAGTGGCAAAACACGTGAGCACCAGAAACAGTTACTGTCATACAGACTCAATGACTCCAGCCCTGATTTCCCCAGCATTTCCAGCTCCTTTCCACCTTTGCTTTTCCCCAGCAAAGAAAGGAACCTTCAGGCACCCACAGACCCTCCTCATCCTCCATCTCAGGGACTCCTTGCCCAGGAAACCCATGCTGCCCAACCACCACAGCACTGTCTGTGCCAAGCTCAGCCCATCTCCACCTGTTGTTTACAGTAAATTTGCTGCACTTTGGGGCCAAGACCACATTTTGTTTCCTTTTTATACCTGGCCCTGCGAGCTCAGTACAGGAGGTGTTTGATTACACAGCTAATAAATAAACAAGGACCTTGATCTCTTCAGCATGTGGCTGTCCAAGGCTGCAATTTCCAGAGAAACTGCTGCAGGCTGTGCTTGATGCTATTAGGGATTCAAATGTGTTTGGGAGATGAGATGTTCCCAGGACAAGGAGAAGATACTGCTAAACCAGCCCTTCCTGCATGCAGCAGGGAGTGGAAAACCCAAATAAACTCAATGCCCGATAACACAAGTTATGGACTGGGCACACCCTGAACTCAAAGTGTTTCTTGCAGAAGCAGCAAGGATGGCTGAAGAAAAGTGGGGAGATGATGACTTCAAGGCAACTACTGCTACATCATCTCCCTCATGCAGGGGGGTTTCAACAAAGTCTTTGCTCCTGAAGGCCACCCCAGTCCTGCTCCACCTTTTATAAATTCTGTTCACTGCCCTGATGTCCCCCTGACATCATCCACACACTCCTGCCCCCCAAACCTGCACTCCCATCCTCCCTCCCACACTTACAGAATGCACTGCTGGATTGCCGAGACCTCAAAGGGGCAGCCTGACTCCTCCACCCCAGGCTCTGATTTCAGCCTGGTTCGAGCACACAGGATGGGACACAGCTCGAGGTGGGATGCAGCTGCTCACAGCTGCTCTGAGCATGTCCCCTCCCAACAATCCTCCCTGTCCTCCATCCCAGACCTCTCCAGCATCTGAGATTTCTCTCTTCCCTTTGACTCAGAAATATCAGTGGTTGCCTAGATGACAAAGGAGCAAAAAAAACCAACAAAAAAAAAAAAAAAAGCAAAAAAAAAAAAACCTTGGAAAGAAATCCCAAGGGGACATTAATTAGGAGTCAGAACTCCCCAGCTCTGGAAGCATCAGGGAGGAGCGATATTTAAACTCCCAGACTGATGGAGTAACTTTGAATTATCTTTCATCTTCCCCTGGATCAGATGTAATCTAATGACATTAACTTGGCTTCACTCTAGTGAAAGTGGCATTGGTGCTACAGAGGCAGGGAGATTAAAACATATGAAATAAATGTTCCTGGGGTGACTGACAGTATAATGGCATTCCAACAGGCAGCTCAATCAGTGTGAGACTAACAAAAGATCAGAGGGAAAGAGGCAGATCTGCAGTATCACCCGCAAACACAGATATTTTCTTTTAATCCAGGCATTTTTTTGACATGACTGGCTCAGCCCCCGTTCTTGGGAGTTTTCCCCAGGCTGTACGGCTGTTTTTGGGTGGGGGTTGGCAGTTGAACTCTATTAAAGCCCATGCTCACCTGCTATTGAACTCTGTTAGCTCAATAGCCTTGTTCAGGGCTGGAGCAGCAATCCCAGCACTGAAGTCAATGCGAGCATTGTGGGCTGCCCCTCCCTCCTTTTGTCCCCACTGGACGAGGGGACTCCAACCCCAAACAGGAAAAGCTCCTTTGGGCATACAACTCCCCTTGATATTCAACCCACACACGGGCCCACACGGAGGTGTCACACTCACCAAATTAAATCCCACAGTCGGGTTTTACAAAGTCAGCTTCTCAGGGGACAGCTGTGGCAAGAGCCACACCACTGCTCCATCTGATTTCCTGGAGGATGTTTCCATGCCCTGTGTGGCACCCCAGCAGGTGACCTGCGTGCCACCAAGCTGTGCCTCACCTGCCTGGCTGCTCCAGGAGCATCCCCCCTGCTACAGCCACAGCTCAGCTGCCAGGGGAGCACTCTGGTGTTTCCAGGGGGAATCAGAGTTCTCCCCATACCCCAAACCCCACAGCCACCCTGTCCCTGTGCCAGCCCACCTCCGTGCCCCAGTGCCAGCAGCATCAGCTACAAAGGCTGGCTGCCTCTTCCATTTCTGCAGCAGCCACCAGGTTTTTGTCCCCTGGGCCAGGCTGGTCGCACTGGCTGCCTGTGCCGGCTTCCTGCGGGCGCTGAAAACAAACCCGGCTGTTTATACCTTGTAATGACGCTGTTTAGTCTGACTGCTGGGAAACAGCAGCGCGTGAAACCCAAGCCTCTGATGCCAAAGATAAGGAGTAGAGACCTCTGGCAAACATCTGGCCATTTCCCCAGCCCTGAACCCTCATCAAAGATTATCACCAAGCGTGCAGTGAGACAGGTAGGTTTTGAAATGAGTGTTTGTAAGGGGCTGGTACCACGCTGGCACCGCAGCTCTGCCACCGCGCCGGGACTCTGTGCTAGCAAAGATTACTCATACAAGCAAAGCCAGCAAGATTAGGTCTCCAGGGAATAATCCCATACAAAGAATTCACTGTACCTCAGCCTCCACGGGGCTAATAAAAAAATAAATTTAAAAAAAAAAGGAAAAAAAAAAAGATGAAACTCAACTCAGTACATCAAATAGCAGAACAAACAAGCTGCAGCAATTAATGGGAGCACTCGTGTGCCAAGTGCTAAAACATAATGATTACACAAACAGCACACGGGGCAGCACCTCCAATGAGTACGAGCTGCAAGATCAAGACGAAACCTCTGGAAAATTATATCCCTAACACCGAGGACTGCACCATGCCCTAAATGCCTGTGGCTCCTCCTCTGTCTAGGTCTGTGCTCCTTGCTCAGGGACTGCTTCCAGAAGCAGGTCTATCCCACTGCCATCTGCTCCTCAAAGCTTCGAGAGCATCTTTGATAAATGAGCTTTTCTGCATATCCACCATAAATTTCAGTAGATGCCACCCCACAGCCATGTGTTTATTTCTCAAAGTCAAGACTTGATTAGAGTTCTTGAGGTTTTTCAGATTCATTTTTAACGTTTCCTTTCTGCTACAGGGTCATGTGGAAATCGGATAAGCACAGACTAAAAATATAATTTTGTAGACAGCTTCAGCCCACACAAAAGGAAATCTTTCTTCTCAAGAGAACCCACACTTTGCAGCCTGCAGAAACCCAGCGTGTTTCTGATACTGGCAGATACACAAGGAAGCTCATCCCTTCCACGTGTTAAGTCTTTTACATAAACACTCGGACTGTCAGTACTACCCTACTCCACATTTCAATGCTGTCACCACAAGCTGAGCCAAAATCCTCTTCTCTCTGCTAATAGCCGGGCTTTACGTGAAAGTAAAACAATCTCCAGGGGTACCCAAAATCCTCTCCTGTTTGCTTGTTCATTCAAGAAAGCCGCAAACACAAGACACACTTCTCGAGACAGCAGTTCCACTCTCACCCCAGCCGAGCCCTCCTATAGGAATCTGCCGGAAAGACGCTCCTCTACTAACTTTAAAACACACGACAAAAAAAGACCTGAACAACTTCAGCGAGAACCGTCTCGGCTTTAACGTTTACTGGCTTGTTTAACAAAACACGAGTCCATTAAAAGAATCACCCGATCGACCTCTTGCTAGTATTTCGCAGGCAAGGTGAGCAGGTGGGGTGTGCTCCTGGAAGTGACATTTTTGGACAGTCATTACTGGGATCCTGAAACATTTACGTGGGGATTGGGGGGGGTTTTGTCCTGACTACAGGAAAAGTGGATCTGGGCTGGGAGCTGCGGGAGGCGATGCTCCGATGGGGCTGCGGGGAGGCTCGGCCGAAAGTCAGCGGTCAGCCACAGGTTTTGCAAAGAGCTGGGGGACTATCACGATACCGGCGGGTCTGGGGTTCTCATGGCAGGGTTTAGCTGTGCCTCAGCATCCCCGCGCAGTCCTCAGGCCAGCGGGGCACCCAGCGCTTCTCCCTTTGTGTGCGCCACCCGCCCCGCAGCGGGCACCGCCGGGGGGACCGCACCGGGCAGCGCTGGGGACAGGAGGGGACCCGGGAACGGGGACAGCCGGAGGGGATGCGGGGAGAGCGGGGCTGGAGGACTGGGGAGCAGGGACGGGAGAACGGGTGGAGCGAGGGGCTGGGGGGAAGAGCGCTCGCTGAAGACAGGGGCTGGCGGGGCGGGTGAAAAAAGGCTCGGAGGGTGCTTTGGGGAGCCAGCATGGGGCTGCCGGGAGCAGCGACCAGCGGGGGGCACTGGTGGCTCGGCCACCGCTCCATCCCCATCCCCATCCCCGTCCCCATCCCCATCCCCGGCTCGGCCCGTACCTGTACCAGGCGAGTCCCCGCTCGTAGTTGCGGTCGAAGAAGTGGGGCTCGGCTCCGACGGCGCGCACGTCGGGGTGCACCCGCAGGAATTCCAGCAGCGCCCGCGTGCCGCCCTTCTTCACGCCGATGATGATGGCCTGCGGCAGCCGCTTGCTGCCCTCGCCCAGCAGCAGAGCCAGGGTGCCGGCCGTGCCCGCCGCGCCGCCCCCGCCGCCCGAGCCGCCCGCCCGGCTCCCGCCGCCCCCGGCCGGCGCCTCCTCCTGCCGCCGCCGCCGCTGCTTCAGCCGCTGCAGGAGCCGCTTGCGCCGCGCCGCCGCCGCCTGCCAGGGGGGCAGCTCGGCCGAGCCGCCCAGCAACTCCCCGCCGCCGCCCTCGTCCTCCTCGGATGCGGCGCCGGCGGCGATGATGGGTCCGGGCAGCGTCTGGCAGCGGTCGGCCAGGCAGTAGAAGACGTAGAGGGACATGAGGAGGGAGCAGAGCATCACCAGGAACTTCTTGAAGATGCTGCGGGGCAGCGGCTCGGCGGCGGGGGCGGCCGCCGCGCTCACGGCCATGCTACCCCGAGAGGGCGGCCGGGCGCCCTGGCCATGCTCCGCGGCCGCCCCCCGGCGCGGCCCCTCCGCGCTGCGCTCCGCCGTGCCGGGGGGCTGCGAGCCGCAGCATCCCCGCGCTTCAGGGGGGCATCCCCCGCGGGGGGACGGGGGGCCGGCTCTGGGGCAGCGGGGAGCCGCCCCCGCCGCCGCTGCGGGCTCGGACGGGATGCGGTGCCGGGGCTCGACGCGGGGCTCCCACGTGCGGAGCCCGCCGCGGAAAACTTCGGCGGAGGCATCGCCGGGCGTGGGGCGGAGCGCTGCCGGCGGCGGGGCCAATGGCACGGCGGGGGCGGGGGGCGAAGCCGCCCCCGGAGCGGGCGGACCCCGCTGGGAATCGGGAATTCGCTGCCGAGCCCTTTCGGGGCGAGCGGGGGTGTGCGGGAAGCTGTCCCGGAGGATGCGGGGATGCTCCGGGGGATGTGCCGGAGGATACGGGAATGCCCCGGGGCTGTGCCGGGGGTGCGCGGTGCCCCAGAAGCTGTCGCGGAGGGTGCAGGGATGCCCTGAGTCTGTCCCGTAGGGCAGGGAGGAGATCTGGGAACACTTTTCTAGCTCTTCTCTCGGAGCTGACTGCTCTGCAGCCGCAGTGGGACATCCTGCTGCCCGCGGGCAGCCTCCTTGGCAGCCGAACTCCGCGGGACTTTTCTGTCCAGCGTGTGCGGGGCGATTTTGGTGTTTGTCCCGCCGCGCTGTCCACCTGCCTGTCCGTCCACTCAGGTTTTTTCACCCCCCCGCATCCCTCCGGACCGGTCCACAAATTCCTGATATGCCCAATAATCCACCCCGACAGACACAAATTCCTTCGCACGGAAGAACAGTCCCCCTTAATCCCAGCGAAGCCGCTGGCAGGGGTGTAAAGCACACTCACAGTATCACAACCAACAGTTGCACCGAGCTGACCACAGCACAGAAACACCCAAAATCAGACTTTTCCCCTCTAGCTTGCACAAGCCGCCCCTAGGCTGGCTGCAGAATCTGGCCCACGGTTGGTAAGAAATATCTACAAACACAACACGATATTGCTCTTGGAATTTGCTCTTCTCCTTTGAGAGTACATAAAATGTGGAAATAGCTCTCAGCTTCGTGGCTCGGCTGCCTGATTGTAAGGGCTTCGTTATTTCATTGCCTGTGGGAATGCCCTCTTAATTTGAAATGTTTGTCATAGATTATAGAATTTTCAAACAAATTTGCACATGAAACGCTTGACTTGGATTTTTTTTTCCTTCTGTTTGGTGTGGACCTAGCTGAGGACTTAAACCTCAACTACTTGGAAATAAAGCTGGTGTATCTACGAATTATGTAATGAAAAAGAGGGAGAAAAATTGCATTGAATTGCAATCAGCCATCTGCAGAGCTGGCTGGCTAATAAAAATGTGTTTCCAAATAGTAAACAGACCAAAATTAATAACAAACGCTATTTGCAATGAATTAGTCTACTAGATTTCGGTGTGTTTGGTGACTTAAGGATACTGTAGTGTTTCAGGTATTTCAATGCTCCAATACAGAAGTAGATTTATAAAATGCTATAAGCAGGTTAGGCCACCAACACCTCTGGGCAACTACTTACATCATTAGGAACCTAAATGCTTTTATGAATCTGTGCTCTGATCCAGCTCATTGAAGTCAATGAAAAGACAGGCTGACATCAATGGGCTTTGGACTGGGCCTTGCAGAAGGGCAAAAGTGATTTGACTTCTTATTATTCTCATTATGATAGTCTTTTCCTAGACTCTTAGAACAGTGTTACACTTACTGTTTGGAAAAAAAAAATTATCGTTTCAAATGGAGAAAAACGGAAAAGAGAAGTGAAATTGGTGTGAAAGAGCATAGGGCTCTTTCTGTATGTGTTCTTTTCTGTATCTGCTGGGATTGCATTGCAAGACTTATGTTTGCAGCATTTTTCCTGGAAATATTTGTGTGAATCTCAGCTTCCCTTTAAAGAGTCACTAGCTAACTAGGGAAAATATGACCAGAGCTGCATAAAAAGTTTCGGTGTCTAGAAAGCAATAAGCTAAATATATCTATATTTTAAAAAGCCCTATGATATTTAAGGCAAACTTGTGATATTTTTACAGACCCTGACTCATGGTTTCTGCCTCCTGGGGCTGAAGGCACCAGTAATTCTGGAGCCAGGAACAGCTCTCCAAGAAGGAAGGTGTCTTAATGCTTTAGAAAGGGCAATACAGGGAAATAGTTTCACCCGGATTGCTGTGGACTCTGTTAGTACAGCTGCAAATCTGAGATTCTTTATTAGCAGCACTCTGGTTTGGACCTTATTTTTGGATGAGTTTTTCTTGCTACAGAGACCATTTGATGAACACTGAAGTATAAAGCCAGAAAAATTATGTGGCTGACATCATGACATCAAGTGCTGAGAACTTACTCGTCTTATCTATTTAAGCCCTGCTGCAAAAATAACCCTTCTCAGGGATAACTTAAGGGTTTTTTAATGACTTAGAGCTTGGAGCAAAAGTTGCTTTTCATTTTACTCAGTCTCTTGCACAACTGACTTAACATTTTCAGTGCAGCCTCTTTCTTTTCCCCTTAAATTTCTGTTTGCCCATCTCAGAGCCTTTTATTACACCCAGCACAGACCCAGCATGGATGTCCTGAAGCCTGGCAGCAGCAGGGGTGCTGGGATCCCTGGGGGCCCAGGGCAGCTCTGCACACCATGCTGGGCACTGTCACTGTCAGTGTCCCCAGTGTGCTGGCAGGTGCAGGGGACTGTGGCCACCCCCAGGGCTGTGCACCATGGCTGTGACTCACAGTTCCCTGGCACCAGCCCTGCTGCTGCTGCTCTGGGATGCTGCTGGCAGTTTCTCCTCTGTAGTCCTGTTTGCACTTGCTCCTTCCTTTGCTCCCTTCCTTTCTCCTTTTCTCTATTTACAGATTTATTGCTGGCTGCATCCCCCAGGAATGCTGCACTGCTCCAGTCATTTCGGGTGCTCCTCTTGAGGGTGAGTGGGGCTCCTCTCCTGGCATGGCTGGTGCCAAAATCCTCCCTTCGGCAGCAGCAGCAGCAGCAAAGTTTCCTATTCCAAATGGGCTGATTTGGGATGCCCTTCATGGGGGCACTGAAGAAACAGACCTGCTCACCAGGAGAGACTTTTGGCACATGAGTCTGCAGAGGCTTAAACTGAGCAACCAAAATCTTCTGCCCCCTTGGCAAAGCAGAGCTGAAGGCTTTGATTCCACCATCTGATATTTCCAGGTGCTTCCATACAACTGGGAAAGGGGAAGGCTTCACCCCGGATGCTTTGTGGACACACAGCCCGTGCTAACCTGTATTTCTGGCTGTATTTCTGGCTGTATTTCTGGATGTATTTTCCCCCCTTTCCCAGTGACCCGTAGCACAGATGGGATCAGGGGTTAAACTGGGAGTATGGTGGAAAAGGGACCGGGAGCCCGAGGCTAGCACAACTTAACAAGTGATTATAAGGTCTGAAGGGAAAGGGAACCCCTGCCTGTCAGGAAGCTGCTGCTGAAGAAAACATCCCATTGTACTGGGGAGATGGAGTATGGGACAGAGCAGAGTGAAACAGATTGATAACCCAGGGGTGATGTGACCCCACATAGGCTCCTACAACAAAAGCCCCTTCATCTAAAATGAATAGGAACAATGGCTAATGGGGACAGGCCAGCAGTGGCCAAGGATCTGAGAGCCAGGGGAGAGGGAGGAGGCAATGACAGCTCCTGTTCTACCCAAATCCTCTATTGATCTCAATAATCTCCTGGGCTTTCCCCCCCTTGAAATCAGACAGAAAGTTCAAGGACTTTTTGCCTTTAGATCGTAGGAACACACATTGTTCTGAGAGCCACTGAGGTGTGCTGGGGCAGGCTGCAGGGAAGGGCCCTGGAGCAGGCTGAGAGGCCAGGCAGGAGCTGCTGCTGTGCCCTGGGATGTCCCCAGCCCTGGGGACAGTGGCACCACCTGGCACTGCTGGCAGGAGCACCCTGGTTGCTGCCCTTGTCCCAGCACTCCCGAGGGAGCTTCCAAATCCACCGAGATTTTTGGGTATGTGTGGATGCCCAGAGCGTGGCAGAGTCAAATGCTGTCAAATTATTAAAAAAAGAATCGTGGCCTTTCTATTAGGGGCCAGCAGGGCCTCCTCAGGCACAGCAGTGCTGAGGGTGTTCAGGGCAGCAGCAGAGCCATGAGGACACTGGGAATAGGAGCTGCATCCCCATGGAGCATCAGCAGAGTCCAAGCAGGTGGGACTGGTGATGGAGAGGTGTTGGAGATCTGATCAACTCCAGTCATGGTAGTTTTGTTGAAAAGGTATCTTGAAATATTGAGCCAGAGACACTAGAAATGTAGGGATGAGATTTTGCTTTGGTTTTTAATAATGTTTTCTCTTGGAAGGACAAAATACCATGTCGACCAGGAAAAAAGAAAAAGAGGAAAGTTTTGAGAGACTATTTTCACTCTCTTAACCTGACAAAATGGCTTGGTCTGTTGTATAATTTGCAATGCCTGTGCCCAAAAGCAAGCAGACCTGGGAGCAGAAGGGTGGTGAAATCTGAGTCCTGCTTTGGCTGGGGCTGGAGGCCACAGATCTCTGTACCTGATGCCTGGCCATGGCACTGAGTGAATGCACCTTGTTTCTGATACCTCCTGCCCAGCTGGGATTGGGCCAACTTGATTAGAGAGCTGGCACAGGCCATGAGGACAGGTGGGAGGCCTGAGATCAGGAGCATGAATTAATAAGAACCAGAAAGAGGAGGAGACTGAATTGGAAAGAACCATGACAGGAGCTCCATGCTGCCAGCCATGGTGCCTGGCTGCTGGAAATGGGCTCCTGGTCCTGGACCTGCCTTTCCCAAGGTGGCCATCCCACTCAGAGGGAGGGCAGAGCCTGCTGTCAGCTCATGGATGGCTCAGCCATCGTGCCAGCAGCTGCTGCAGTGCTCCCCAAAGGCTGGACTGGGAGCCCTGGGGCCAGCAGGACCGTGGTTCTCCC